ATTTCCTGATTTTAAAGTTGAACATGGTGTTTTGTATAAACATGTCTTAAGTTCCATAGATTCCCTTACTGGAATGTCGGATTGGAAGATAGTCGTTCCAACTCCTAATAAAGCAGAGGTTTTGGCCACTTTTCATGACCATTCTACTGCATCTCATTTTGGTTTTTACAAAACTTTCCGTCGAATATCTGAACTTTATTACTGGCCGAAGATGAGTCAAACTGTACGTAGCTATATCGCTAAATGCAAAATCTGTGCTACGTGCAAACCGACAAATCTTCCCCAACTAGGTTAAATGGATAGTTATCGACGGATTGATTTTCCATTTCAACTTCATATCGTTAGATCTCATTGATCCCTTATCACTTCTGCACCAGTTTGGTTGCTTAAGATCAGTTTATCTATTTTGTTTACCTGGCAAAAAAAAAACCATAAGACGTTGTTCTATTTTGCCTTCTATTTTTTTATCTTATCTTAATGTTGGTTATTATCTTAGTTTATGGACTTGCTAATTTTGTTGTTTGTTTTCTCTTAAAAGTCCAACTGCATATCATGGAGTACAGGATGGATATATGGGAATTTCCCCATCTTGAGTTCTGAGTTGAATAGATATTTACAGGGATAATTCGGAAAATATTCCAAAGATTTTCTTTAATAGTATTGTATGGTTTTGTGGATCATGGCCACGAAGCTTATGCATTCATATTCACTTACTGTGTCAGTGTTTTAGCGTGGGTTCAGGATTGATCACCCTGGATGTGTGCCTCACTTGGCTCAGAAATATATCAATACATATTAGTTGTTCCTTGAGTGTCTCTTAGGTTGAAATTAGAATGTGTCATTTAGAATTGGATCGTTCTGATATTCAGCAGTATGTAAGTCTGTTTAACTTGGTTTGTTATCTCCTATGTTATTACCTTCTCAAAGTATTTGAATTTTAACATATCTTATTGTATACTGTTTGCTTACCTGTCTCTCTACTAGTGATATGGATTGGTAGATGTGAGTTATCTTTATCTGTATCTTAATTGAGTTTATCTTTACCTTTATGGAGTTTATCTCATACCTGTAATGGAGTTTATTTCGTATCTTTACCTTCAGTTTGTCTCGTACCTTGACTGAGTTTATCTCGTACCTTTACCGTGAGTTTATCTCGTACCTTGACTGAGTTTATCTCGTACCTTTACCTTGAGTGTATCTTTATCTTTACCTTAATTGAGTTTATCTCGTACCTTTACCTTAATTGGTTTATCCCATACCTTTACCTTAAGTTAGTTATCTTTACCTTTACCTGGATAAGTTTATTTCTTATCTATATCTTATGTATATATATATATTAGCTTTATCTTGATTATAGAGTCCTAAAAATCTGTCCTTTACTGTTCTTGTCGTAAGTAAAGAATTGGAACACGTCAATAGTACAGTTTAGGTATTACAGTTAGGATCTCTTTTATCTTTCCTTCTACCAAGTGTATAGCTGGTAGAAGTGAGTTTTGTGCATATCCTCTACCATGAGTAGATCTGGACGTGCAATTATCTTTTCCCTTTTGTGTATATCCTTTACTATGAGTTGGGATTGCATTTATCTTACTTACCTTTTTTTAGCATACCCTATACCATGAGTATAGTGGGCTTGCTAGTATCTAGGCTTGTGCCTTTACCGATTGTGTGTTTTCCTACCGCTGCTAAATCAAGTAGGTGTATTGAATTATCTTTTACCTTGTTGTTGATATCCCGAACCATATATATGTTTAGGTTTGTAGTTTCAACTAGTTCTAAGTAATTAGGCCCTCATTGAGCTCTATGGTGACGAATAGAATCGGGTCGCTCTAGTGTCAACGTTGGGTAAAGTTCATAGGATTTTGTGTGAATTTCGTTGGTATGAATGGTTCTTGGAGATATTGTGTTAGGGGTTGTTAATACACCCCAATAATGTAGTTTTAACGAATGGTTGTTTTTACAAATACTTGAGAATGTAGATAAGTAGTGTTAAAAGTTAACTTGATCTGTAAGGTTATAGAATTAAACTTAAAATGTATACCTTTTTATTTTTTTTTATCTTTGGTTTATACTAAATTAACATACATTATCGCATTAAAAAAAAAATGTATGACTTTGTCTCATATTCTTCGTTCCATATTTTTATTTCGTCCTTGATTTTGTTCCAATTCCTGAGCAAATGGTTGACTGGTGACGAAAATGTTCAATTTTAACGTATCAACGTTCATTGTCAGTGTTAGATCGTTCTGCCACAAAAAAAAAGTTCCTAAAGTTCCTTTTTTTTTTGCTGGAGATGAGGGAGAATGTAGCGTTTACGCTACTGATTAACCCCTTTAGAAATTTTTATTACCCGCCTACGATCGATTTTAAATCGACATTTTTCCCGACACGCGCTGTTATCGCTTTGAAAGGAAGATCGATTTTATGCGGAAGCGGAACGATCAGTTTTGGTCAGAACTCATACGCAGCCACGCCAACCGGTGAAATTTTTCACCTTCAAAGTGACGGAATTGGAGCAAGGAAGATAATTTGGGGAAGAATAAAATAGAAATATTTATAATAATAATTAATTTTTTTTAAAATAAGTAATTTGTATAATAAAATCAATATTCATTTATAAGAGTTCCACATAAAAGGAAGATTTTTTTTTGGCGTGCTGCAGCTCCATGTAAGTAAATCATTTCAATACGTATTATCTCTTTATCATACAATCAAATTTATCATTGTATTTAGTATTTCTTTAGAGATTTATTTTTGAGTTCCGAAATAATTTAAATATAAAATTTCCTTGATTTACTTGCAAAGAACAGAAGGTCATTTTTTTTTATATAGTTAAACTTAAATTCTGTTTTAGTCCATGTCGTTACCATTAAGTTTTTTTTGGTTTTTTTTACCTAACTTTTTTGGTGGAATATAAAAGGTTCTACAAATGTGGACAGCCCTCTATATTCTGCGCATGTTCTTTTCATGGCGCAAGCTTGCCATACCTACGAAAGTAACTTCATAAATTTGACATGATGTTGACTTAACCTAATACCTGATGTTTTGATGTTTTGTTTTGGTGCAGTCAATCCATGCTGCTACACCTATTGAATTACATTTATTAAATTAAATAATCATTTTAGATTCCGTCACTTCACTTGAGGATATTCTCTTCAGAATATTCCCTCAAGGACTAGTAACTAAAATCCTTAGATACATAGTTAGCAACTTGTGGTTGGATTTTGCTGTCATCCAGAGACCAGTGACTGGTTGTGGCTTTGTGCCCAGGATTCGTCTTTACAGCCATAAACTGATTTAGCCGTGCCAAGAGGAATTTTCCTATGGACTTATGGGGCTGTAAAGATAAGTTGTTTAATTGTTTAACTTTTGTTACTATCTATTTTGTTACTATGTATTATTTGTTACTATATGTCTAACTCATCATATGCATATGATAAGGTGAATACCTTTGTGATAATTTAATTTTTGATATAATCTAATTCTAAAATATTGGGGAGAAGAAAATACATTACATGTTTTTATTGGGTTTTTAAATAGGATTTCAAGAGTACTGACCAAACTCACTTTTGATATAATATATTTTTTAATACAATACATTTGATATAAAATAATTTTGATATTGGGAAGGGAAATGAATTTCATGTGGTTTTTAAAACATTGTATAAGGAGTATTGAAGACTCACTTTTTGGATGTAATATATATTTAATATAATTGTAATAGAGATTTATCAAGTTTGATATCTTTACAATATTGTCATTAGTACCTCATTTTAGTAGAACTAATTTAAATTTAAATGACTACCTTTTTGTTTTAAGACTTTGGCTACCCTACGGACTATCCTTAAATTGTTACTAATATTTTAAACTTTATTTGGCCAGTGGTAGTGACTTTTCGCTTGTTGAGGGGCTATAAGGTCCCATTGTATATTTACACCATCCACTACCACTGTTATTTAGCTTTGCATTATATGTAAATTGTATATACACATATACCTATATACATTTTTTATAAATATATTTATTGTTGCTATTTTGAGTTTTATTTCAGTTCTACTAACCAGTATATAACATAGCAAGACAAGATTAGTATTTAGTATTTTTGTATTTCAGAGTATTATCTCCAGATTCATTTGTTACTTCAAAATCTCAACTATCGTTGAGTTGGCGCCCTTCTTTTCTCTTCTTCTTGTTCTCTTTCTATAAATTTATTCCCAGTGACCTTCTTCAGTTGTATCACGTTTGATATTACCAGGTCTCATTTCTTTCTTGTCTCACTAGCTCATTATCTCTTGTTATTGTTGTTTATATCTTTAAAGCCACAATCCAGTGCATTGAAGCTAGCCCGAACACTCACTTGAGATTTAGTGTCTCTTTGGCCATTTAAATTTGTTCCTCTGAGCTTAGCCCTATTTTTAGTATTTTTTTTTTCATCACTTCTCTTTCAGTTCTTCTGAAATTTGGAAGTTCTACACTTCCAAAAAAAACCAATACTCCCGGAGTATAGAGCGTTTCATCTTGCCAAACTCTGTATACTTGATTCTAGGTCGATACCAAGTTAGGACTGGTCTAAAATCTTAGTGGCAGTCGATCATCAAGAGCAGCTTGGACGTTTTCGCATAAGTTTACAATTTACAGTTACTTTATGGTCTAACTGCATTTCAAAACCTAACTCATTAGCAGTCAGATTGACAAGCGATAAAACGATCTTGAATTGGGATTGAAAATCTTTATCCATTTGAATAATAATCGACGGAAGAAGGCACAGAAAAAGTTGAATATGACTCAGAAAAGAAGAAATATTTAAATAGTATTTGATCGAAGAAGATAGTTTAAAAGATCTTTACCAAATACGTTGTAATCAATATCTAGAACAGCAATATACGAAAGTAGATATAAATGAATAAATCAACTCAACTAGATGATTCATTGCAATCATATAGAACGTTACATAGGTTTGAAACTTAACTTAGTACACAATTATTAACAGTAATATTTACCTAGTTAAATCTGCACCACGCTTTTTTAGATGCCCCTCCATTTCCATCAACTGCACAAACTTCTTCGGATGCTTATTCTGAAGCAAAAGACATCTTAATACCAACAGAGCATCTTGTCTGTAAAAATCGTGCAATCCATTTATAGCCTTGACATCTCTTAACCCTAGGATCATACATTCGTGTCCGTGCTTTTCCATGTCTTTTAAACCTGGACAAGCTGGATGGCAGATTGGAAAGTCACATCCTTCGCAGCGGGCTGATTGTTCCCCAATGATCAACCTGGTTTAAGCAAAAAAAAAGGTTTATATTATAAATTTTAACATATAAAATTACTATTTGCTGTATTGAAATATGTTATATATGCTTGAATATCTTCAAGATATGAAAATTTTTATTGAGAAAGAGCTCCGAAATAAAAAGGTAGACGTTTAAAGATTATCGTTCTATTGTTACTAACTTCGTCGCAAATAAAGTAAAGAAAGGAAAGTCAATAACACGACAATTACATTTAATAGTATGGAGCGATGATATTATAAACATAACTAAACATCAAACCATTAAGACTATATTAGAAAGTTACTCACTTTATGAATTAGGGATTTGGGTGACAAATAAAAGAATGGAAAACAAAATAAATGCAGTGGAAATAATGAATTGTAAAAGAATCTGGAAATTATCCTTAATGGACAAAGTGAAAAATGAACTAATTATAAAATTAATGAATGTGTAGGATACACGAATTATTCAAAGATGGTTTAAAGAAACAACATGCAAAAAAACATATAACTTACTTACAACATCCTGGACATGGAACAGGTCCCTCCTCCACCATGTGCGGTCTTGGTCCATAGACCAGAGGAAATTCAGACAAGATTATATCTCCAGGTTTAATGTCTCTAGTAGCTACTAAACATTTACCAATTACAGGATCTTCTTGTATCTTAAAAACGAAGAGTTAACCAAATCTTTACTAATAAAATAACGGCATACTTACTTCAAATGGTCTACATAACGGTTTATGTGCTTTCCATCCTTGTTTTTGGTGGTCTTTGCAACAATAAGAGACAAGTTTACAAGCCGAGCATTTCAGTTCGGATGGTTCTCCACATATTTCACATTTTTCACTCATTTTAGTTCTAGTTTATAGGTCTACTAAAATGAAGAAAACATTTAGCAATATTGTAAAAGTACATATTTATTTTAAAATGAATCACTAAACATCAGTTTAACATAATTAAAGAAAATTATACTGGGGCAAGTCTATGATAAAATTTGGAATTACAAAGTAACGCATTATGTTTTTCTTATTTATTATTTGTGTTTTCCACATGTTTTTTCCACCAGAGTAGTTCTTAGTATTCTGTTTTTCTTTATTTTTTTTTGCTCAACTATAATACTCATTCTGATTTTTCCTTTCCAATCTTGTAAAATCTTGTAACTAAAAATGCACCCTTATGGTTTTGTTTCTTACCTAGTCTCCTCTAGCAGTATTCTGCAACTTTTCCTAAATAGTTTCCCCATCAACTGAGATTTATGTCGCGGGAGAAAAGAAATACTCATTCAATATGTATGCGAAATACAGTTTTAATATTAATATTATTACATGTTATTCTGTAAGATAGGGATGGCTGTGTTTGAGGAAAACACCGGTTTTCGGTTATACCAGTTTTTCAAAAAACCGGTTTTTTTAATCCAATAGATTACAAAGTTACATTTACAATGCCCTTTAGTTTGCGATACTTCATTCGACTCGATATCAATATGATCAAAATTAGTACTATCTAAAGAACATCAATATCAATATAAATAAAACACAATTTTTTTGTTTTGTGAGAAAAAAATTCCCCAACCATTTCAACTTAAAAAAATTCCCCAGACCCTTTTAAAACGGGATTTAAAGAAAATAATATCAACATAAATATTTTACTTAAAAATAAATTGGATAATGCAATTCATCTTTTATTTTTACTACCATCAAAAAAAATTTATCATGTATTACTTTTAACACGTTGGTACATTTTAACTCATTTAATACTTCCTGTATGGGTGTATCGTTTTGAAAACGTAGGGAAATCCTTGGCGATTCGTATTCGTAATCGGTAATTCGATATTCATAGTCAGAACATTATTTTTGGTAATCAGAAAAAGCCATTCACTCACTTACAATGTCAAGAGTCAAGTGTGAAAAATAGATGATGTACTTTTAGATCTATTAGATCACAGTAAACACTTTAAAACAGCAAGGGAAAACCTTCTGCTGTTCCCGTTGGATATCAGTATCGGAAATATAGGAAGAATAAGGAAGATGTAACTTGGGTATGTGTAACATATTCACGTTTTCCGAATTAGATTTTCCAGAATTAAATAATCTAATAATAATTGAACAAATTTTCCCATCGTTAACTTTACCTGGAATCAGTTGAGAAGACTCACAAATGGGAAAAAGCTTTACAATGCCACAAAATACATTTGAGATTAATTGACCATCGTTTTGATGTCATTTTTCCATAGTATACCTATGGTTTTAGGGTAATTATGAAAAATTTAAGGTATATTGAAGTAAATGAATGAAAATCATCAATAATGATCAAACAACCGAAATAAGAGCTAGGATAGAAATAGCAAGAAATGCGGTTGTAAAAATGAAAACAATTTTCTGCAACAAAGACCTTAGATTAGAATTGAGAGTAAGAGCACTGAGATGCTACGTGTTTTCGATACTGCAATATCTTGAAAGCTGGACATTAAAGCAAGAACACATAAATAAGTTACAGTCCTTTGAAATTTGGTGTTACAGGGGGATGCTTAGAATAGCATGGACACAGAAGAAAACTAACACGGAAGTATTCCGAGCAATGGGCAAAGAATGCGAAATGATAAACACAATAAAAATAAGAAAGTTACAATATCTGGGACACGTAATGAGAGGACAGCGATATGAACTGCTAAGGCTGATAAACAAGGAAATATAAGAGGAGGAAGGAGTAGAGGAAGAAGGAGAGTGACATGATTGAAGAATTTAAGGGACTGGCTTAAATGCAGTTCTATAGAACTCTCTAGAGCAGCAGTAGACAAAGTAAAGATAGTGATGATGATATTTAACCTCCGATTGGGAGACGGCACTTAAAGAAGAAGAAGAAACAAAAAATAGAATACATCGAAAATCAGGCAAAATATCTGCTAGAGACTAAAGACAGTGCAACGTTATATGCAAAAGAAAAAAATGTTTCAAACAACAAATATAGCTGAGATAATGTTAAATAAAAATGCTTATTAACACTTTTTGTGTAGAATGAACCGTTCTCTCAGAACCAATGAATTTCCTATGGACAAAAATCAAAATCAAAAAGAAGCAGATTTAAATGATTTAGATCGTTTGATTTTTTAGAGATTTGTAGAGGCTCAGCGGCATTTTTGTCTCTGACGACTGGAGTATAATTATATATTGGACACATTTTTAAACACTACTAGAAAAATATGTACTTACCTAATAAGTTTTACACTAAACTAAAAAAATCTATCACTTATTTCCGCAAATTCAAAAATCAAAAATACCTTTTCACTGAATTAATTTTAATCTTCTAGATAATTTTAACCTCCTCTGAAAAATAGTTGACTGCCTGAATGAAAATTTTCCATATGTTCCATTTTCTGTGTTTAAAGTTATATAAATAGCTTTTCACGGATGGAATCGAATAATTTTCAGAATGTTGTAGATTGGCTTAGTTGGAAGCGGGCCAACTTCTAACATATTTTTAATTTTTTGTTCCTCTTATAAATATATAATTTAGTATTAGTCGATGAATGGTTTTAAGTGTAAGGTAATAAAAATCTGACAAATAAGAAACAATAATGGGATATAAAATCCAACCGAAGATAATGACAAAATATTAAATAAGTGAATAATGAGTTTTACTACCTTAGAATCTCCAGGGAACAATGAAGTGAGAAAAATGCACAAAATCTAGCTGGCATATCTTTTTTTTGTTATGGCAAGTCATATAGTTTTTTGACAATTCTCAGAAAAATTTTTGATATTGAGACATTAATAATTGACAAATAGTTTTATGTTCAAATGTTGTATTGTTTGTCATATCTCTTCGTTTGAACCCAAATTAGGTAAATGAGGTTAACTTGCTTGCGTTTATCATCATCATCAGTAGCTCGACAACCCTTTCTGGGTCCTGGCTTGTTCTAGGATTTTCCGCCATTCTGTTCTGTTCTTTGCTTTGTTTTTCCAGTTGGTAATCTTAAGTGTTTTCAGATCTTGTTCCACTTCTTCCATGTATCTAAGTTTGGATCTTCCGTTTGACCTTCTCCTTACTGGTGTTTGCCTCATAATATGTTTTGGCGTTTCAGTCTCCAACATCCGTTCAACATGGCCCATCCAGCGCAGACGTCCGATCTTTATGGGTGTTACGATCTCAGGTTCATTGTATGCTGTGTATAGTTCAAAGTTATACATATCTTCTGTGCCATATGTCATTTTCCTTTACCCTCTTATATATGTGTCCAACGATTTGTCGCTCAAATGTACCTAATAGGTTCTCATCGCTTTTCGACAGTGTCCACGTCTCTGATCCATATACAAGGACCGGTTTTATCAGGGTCTTGTATATTTTGCATTTGGTTTTTCTTGTGACATTCTTGTGATCTTAGATGTTTAATTAGTCCATTATATGTTTTATTAGCGATATATATTCTTCTCTTAACTTCTTCACTGATATTGTTATCTGCGGTAACTAGTGAACCTAGATAGGTATGTAAAACTTTTCACGCTTTCGATGTTATAGTCTCGTATTGTCAGATTCTGTAGGTTTCTTTGGCCTGTCGATTTACTTGACTTCATGTATTTGGTTTTTATTTTGTTAATGTTAAGGCCACTGTTTTGTGCCGCTCTTTCTATCGCATTAAATGCTTCTATCATCTCTCTTTAGCTTCTAGCTATGATATCAACTTCTTCTTAACGTGCCCTATCAAGTCCCCCTGACGTTGGCGATTAACATGGCGAAACTGTCTCTGTCTCTTACTTACTTACTTACTCCGTGGCGTTACAACCCTTCGTGGGTTTTAGCCGACTCGACAACATGCCTCCACTGTTTTCTATCTTGAGCAACCTCCATCCAATTCTCCACGCCCATAGTGCTTAGGTCTCCTACTATATTATCTCGCCACCGGAGACGAGAGCGTCCGCGTGGTCTCCTTCCAGTTGGGACTTCCTCCCACACCAGTCTTACTGTTCGTTCGTCAGAATGTCTTCTGAGGTGTCCTGCCCATTGGAGTCTTCTGGACTTTATTTCTTTTATGATGTTGGCGTCTGGGTAAAGTTCTTCAAGCTCTTTATTAGTTCTTATCCTATATTGTCCTGATGCTTCATCAAGCACCGGACCAAAGATCTTCCTTAGGATTTTTCTTTCCCAAACACGTAGTCTCTCTTCATTTGCCTTTGTCATCGTCCACGTTTCGCTTCCATACATCACAACGGGTCGTATGATTGTTTTATAGACCTGTATCTTCGTACCTCGTGTTAGTTGTTTTGATTTTATAAGGTTTTGGAGGGCAAAAATACATCTGTTGCCGGCCTGAATCCTGTTGTTTATTTCTTGTGATCCGTTATTGTCTTCAGTTATTGTTGTTCCAAGATACTTGAATTCTCTAACGCGCTCAAAGTTAAAGTCATCGATGCTAATGTTCTGACCGATTCTGTCTCTGCTTTGGTTATTGCGGCTCATATACATATATTTCGTCTTATTTTCGTTGATTTGGAGCCCCATCTTCTCTGCTTCCTTCTCAAACCTTACGAAAGTCTCCTTCATCTTTAATCGCGTGTTTCCTATTAGATCTATATCGTCTGCAAATGCCAGTAGTAAGTTTGGTCCTTCTCGATGAAATACTGTATTCGGTTTTTCGATTCTTGCACTTCTAATTATGTGCTCCAGAGCTAAGTTGAAGAGTTGTGGTGAAAGTGCATCTCCCTGTTTTAGTCCATTGTTTATTTCAAATGTCTCCGAGTATTGTTGTCCAACTCTCACCTTACATCGTAACCGTTCCATACACATCCGTATCAACCGGACTAGTTTTTTTGGAAAGCCAAGTTCCTGCATCGCTGTCCACAGTCTGTCCCTACATACTCTATCAAATGCTTGTTTAAAATCTATGAACATCTGTCTCTGTCTCGAGCTATTCTAAATAGTTCCTCAGCTTTCATTATTGCTGTCCACTCCCTGATATTCTTCAACCAAGAAGCCTGTTTTCTACCAATTTCTCTGCGTCCTTCAATATATGATGATATCAACATCATCTGCAAATGCCAATATTTGTACACTTTTTGTTGTTATTGTTCCTCTGGTGTTGACTTTTGACTTCCTAATTATTTTCTCTAATGTGATGTTGAATAGAATACAGGATAGGGCATCTCTTTGCTTTGTACTTTAAGTGCTCTTTTACTATATCAATGAGTTGAGTTGGTATATCAAACTCTTTCAGTGCATGGATCAAAAACTCTCGATGGATGCTATCATAGGCACTCTCAAAGTCAATAAAAAGATGATGTGTGTCTATATTAAATTCACTAGTCTTTTCCAAGATTTGCCTCAAGATGAAGATCTGATCTATTGTGGACTTCGGTATGCAGAAACCAGTAAGAAAAAAGTGCTGTAATATTTTAACCAATTTTGGAAACAAAAATGAATATTCATTTGAAAATAAAGCATTATATAAAGAAATTCAAAAGTGAAAAGAAAAGAATTCACTAATGTAGTTGTACTGAGGCCTGATGAAACCAACAAAACCGTTAATATGGAATCTAATGATTGATTTGTAATTGATCTAATTGAACTTAGAAATGATCCTACCAATATCTCCAAAAAAAGAAATAATGCTGTTATTGGCAGATCAGACAAAAATGGTTATAATATCACCAAATACAGCAAAATCACTTAAGCTACACAACGCTATTCCATCAAAAATTTATAGTATACCTAAAACACAAGGAGAATATACCTCTACGTCCTATCGTTTCCTGCATTCAAACACCGCTCGAAAATCTCTCAAAGTTCTTGACAAACATTGTCTCTAATGTCACAAATAAAACTCCTTATTATATTAAAGATTCCAATGACCTTATTTCTAAAATTAAAAACATTCACATACCAGATAACTATAAATTAATATCTTTAGATATTATTTCACTATACACTAACATCCCAATAAAACTTGCCACTGACATCATTAAAAAGAAGTGGAATGACAAAAGAGTACACTAACATCCCATTACAAAAATTCCAATCATCTGTAGATTTTACGTTAAACTCAACATAATTTTTGTATAAGAACGAAATATACCAACAAATGGATGGATGTGCAATGGGTGCAAGTATTTCTAGTGTCATTGCCCAACTGGTTCTGGAAGACTTAGAAGAATCTACCATGAGTCATTTAGATTTGAATGTACCATTCTTCCACCGCTATATCGATGACTGTATCTGTGCTATTCCAACAAATAAAATGACCGAAATTTTAGATAATTTTAACAGTTACCATCCAAAATTAGAGTTTACGTTAGAAATTGAACAAAATAATTAAATAAATTTTCTGGATATCACCTTACATCGCATTAGCAATACTGTTAAAACGATGTGGTTTACAAAAGAAAACATGATCTTCACTATATCTCAACTACAATTCTCATCATCCATTCTCCCATAAGAAGTCTGTAATTATAGGTCTTGCTGATAAATCTATACAACTACTAGATCCAGAATACAGACCAACTGCAATAAAAAAAAAAAAATCAAAAAATGCCTTTATAAAGAATGCATATCTCGAACATCTAATCGAAACTATTTTCAAATTAAGACTTAATAAATGTTATAACAATACAAATAACAATAAATCCAACAGTATCAAAACTACTTACACAACTCTTCCATATATAAAAGGGTTATACGAAAAAATTAACAAATCTCTTAGTCAAACATAATATAACAGTGGCGCACAAAGACGATGACCTTTTAAATAAATATTTCACGAAACTAAAAACACAAACTCCAAAACCCAAAAAATCACATTCTGTTTACGAGATAACACGTATTAACTGTGAAGGTGAAGGTGTCTATATCGGGCAAACCAGTCAACTGCTTCAATCCAGAATTCGTTCCCACAAATATGACAAGACTAACGTCACTGCGCTCACAAAACATGAAAATGAGAAGAATAAATTTGACTTCGAAAACATCAAAATTTTAAAAACCTAACAAAACAAAAAGAAGAGGGAGATATACGAATCAATAGAAATAAAAAGAGATACGAACGCAATAAATGACAAAAAAGATACACAAAATCTAAATAAAATATATTCCAATCTGATTTAAATAATAATAAATATAACACCACAAATAGCTCTTAAAGTCATAACATATCTCCACTTCACGTTTTTCTAAAACATCAATGATACGCCCAAATAAAAATAATTATACACTAATGACAGTAAACCATGCGATAGCAGATATCAACTTTTATTTGTCACTTCATTAATGTCAGTGTCCTGTTTTACGTTTTGATAAGTTATACAGATTGAACCAAATTAAAACGGAACATACAATTTAATACATGTCTGTTTGAACTGCATTTAAA